GAGGCTGAGGCAGGAGGATCACAAGTTAAAGCCCTGCCTGGGCAACACACACACACACACACACACACACACACACACACATACATATGTATGAATAGGGCTGGCAGTGTAGCTCAGTGCAGAGGCCTTGGTTCAATCCCTAGTGTGTGTATGTGTGTATGTTTTTTTTAAATTGAAGGATGAAGGCAGGAATAAGGGCCTATAGGTGTTCCCAACCCTAGTCTTGTCAGTCTGCACACCCCAACCCGGCCTCACAACAGCCTCTTGAGTGTTTTCCCCATTCTTGCTCTCATTCACCAGCTGCTGCTGTATTTCTGAGGCTGATGAACAAAGACAACCTGGTCTCTCTTCTGCAAGATCATCTCAAACTTAGCCTTGGGCAGGGGACCCCTCAGGTCATCCATCCGCGTCTGCCTGCAGACTTGGAGCTCTCCTTAGACTGACAGACTGTAGGGTTTTGTCCTACCCACTCTGGGCCATTGGCATCATTTGCCATGGAAAACCCCAAAGTCTCTCTTCCTCAGCTGCCGGCCTGTTCTGGGTCATTGTCACCACGCAGCGTGATTGCTGTATTAGCCTGCGGTCCACTTCCTCACCCTCAGCCTCTGGGATTGTCCTCTTTTTGATTCCTACGAAGGTTCTTGATTGCTTATCAATTGCTAGTAGTCAGATTTCAGTCAGTATTTCCTGACTAGTAAGGGCCCCTCTTTCCTCCTTTTCTAAGAACGGAAATAATTTCCTGATTGATCAAGAGCATCCACAAACACAAGTGTTTTGCTAGCACTGTGTTATGGTTTACACTCAGATGTCCCCCTACAGCCTCATGTGATCATAGGAGGGACTTTTGGGAGATGCATTTTAGCTGGCTTGCTGTTAGGAGGTAGGGCCTGGTTGGAAGAGGCAGGTCACTGTGGGTGTGACCTTGAAGGTTGTATCTCCCTTCCTGGATCCTCCTTTTACACTCTTTGCTTCCCTGTCACCATGACACGAGTGGCTTCTCCTCCACCATGCCCCTGTGCCATGCTGTCCTGCCATGGAGCCAGCTGACCCTTGACTGAAACCCCTGCAAACTGTGAGCCAAGATAAAACTTTAAGTTCCAATTGTTGGGTATTTTGTCCCAGCACTGAGCAAAGTGACTAAGAAACATCTTAGTACCAGAGAAGTGGGACTGTTGCTATGACTACCTGAGTAGCTTTTGGGACTGGTTCATGGGAGGAGTTTGGAAGGGGTTAGAGATGGCCAGAGAAGCAGCCCTAGAATGCTGTAATCTGAACTCGAAAGGAGATTCTTGTCAGGATTCTGGTCAGAGCTCAGAAGATCTGAATGCTGGCAAAAATACAGACAGTAAAGATTAGGCTCAGGCAGTTTCTGTTGGGAACAAGGACTCCATGGCAGTTGGATTGCAGGCCATGTGTGTTATGCTGTGGCAGAAAATTTGTCTACGTTTTGCTTATGTCCTGAAGCTGTGGAGACTAAGATTAAGGTTGGCAGACTAATTGATCTGGTGGGGAGCATTTCAAGGCAGTCCAATGTTGAAGCCGTGGCATGGATACTGCTTGCTGTTTTTAGCAAGTCTCTACCAAATATCAGGAGCAAAAAATCTTTTTTTTTTTTTAAGTTTTCAGTTTCACCAGAAAGAAACTGCCTATAAAGTAGGAGCAGAGGAGAGCTTGGTTGCTAAAAAGATTAGCATTCAAAAGAAGCCAAGCACTTTGGATCAGAACGATAGGAAAAATGGCTTGCAAGTATGTCAGAAATCGGCAAGGCCCACTCAGCTGGCTCGATGTTGCAAAGGTGAAAGACTTTGGTTTGAGAAGGAAGTCTCAGGACACACTATTGGAGAAGAGTCACCTAGGGACTGGATTCCCCAGGATTCCATTTACTACACTCATCTATCCACTCACTCGGAGGTTTCAGCAGCCATGAGCCAAGCAGCATGGCTACTGGTCAAGCCAAAAGCTGACCTTGGTGTCATCCAAATGGTGCTGGTTTTAGGCGCATGCAGAAAGCAAGAGTGGTGGGGTCAGGAAGGCTTCCACCCAGATTTCAGAAGAAGGCCTGGGAAGCCAGGCAGGGGTGCCCCTGAGAGGGCAGTGTGTGAAGCTGTGAGGTTGAAGCAGTGGAGCAGATTCTAGAAAGTTACAGAAGGCAGGAATGTGGAACATCTCAGGAAAGCCGCAGGGAGTAAGAGCCAGTCCGTGAGAGGAGCCATGAGGGCTGCAACCACTAGCAATGCTATAGGGGCAGAGCTACCCAAACCCTTTGGAGCTAACGTCTCATTGCCACAACTTGCCCTGAGTGCTGGACACAGAGCTACAGGATTTAATGTTTTCCCTGCTGTGTTTTAATTTTTGTTTTGGTTCCATCGGTTTCTCACCCTCTTCTCCTGTTTTGGAGTGAAAATGCTCATCCCATGTCATTGTGTTTTGAAAGTGTTTAAACTTCTGTTTTGCTTTTACAGGGGCTCACAGCGAAGAGTTTGCCATGGGTCTCAGAGGAGACTTTGGACTTGGACTTTTCAGTAGTGCTGGAACTGTTAGGTCTTTGACAACTCTTAGAGATGGACTAAATGCAGTTGCAGAAAGATGTGTGCATGAATCTTTTGGGGGCTGGGGCCAGAATGTTATGGTTTACATAACAGGGCTGTTCCCTGAGAGCAGCGGTGGAGAACCTTTTAGAGCTTTCAATGATAACAAACAACCTGCTGTAGCATGCATGCCATTGGCTTGTCAACACTGCCCTAAAGCTTCATTTTATTGATCATAGGTGGGATTGGATTATAGGGGCAGTATAAGTGGCTTGCTGTTAGGAGGGTAGGACCTGGTTGGAAGAGGCAGGTTGCTGTGGGCGTCACCGAGAAGGTTATATCTCCCTTCCTGGCTCCTTCTTGATGTCTCTGCTTTCCTGCCACCATGACATGGTAGCAGCTTCTCCACCACCATGCCCCTGTGCCATGCTTTGGAGCCAACTGAGCCTGGACTGAAACCTCTGCAAACTGTGAGCCAAGATCAACCTCTCCTTTAATTTTCAGCTGCTGGATGTTTTGTCCCAGTGATGAGGAAAGGGACTAAGTTACTGTGGAAATGGGGGTGGATGCCAGAGAAGCAGGAGGCACAGCCCCTCCCTTCAGGGAGCCTTCACTCTTTGAGAGCCAACGTGGAAACAGAAGAGATAGCCAGTAATACAGGGCATCCCTGGATAACATGGTATATGAGAGCTTCCTGAACCTCTGTTTAAAAAGCCCATCACAAATTTTATAAAAATAAAAACAGAGCCAGTAAAAAGTTCTAAAATGGATCATAGCTCAGATGAAAGGCCAGATATGATTATACTGCATTATTAGCTAGATCAAGAGTTCGGAAATAAAGCAGTGTCCTTTGGGAGGCACCTCAAGTTCACTAGGAACAAGTTATGCCACATTATCTTGTTTTCTTTTATGATAAGGTTCTAGAGCTTGGTCCAAAGTGCCTTAGATTTAGCATTTCTGGAGTTCAAAAGGGTTTTAGGAAAAACCTCTCATGTTGTGTTTAAGGAAAAGAAGGCTGGATAGGTCCATGGATTTAGAGCTGCTTGGAGGGCGGTCCATGGATGGGATTGTTGTGTCTTTGAGGTCTGTGTCCTTGTGGTCAGTGTTTTGTCAGTGATGTAGGTGGCGAACGTGGTGGCATTCCTAATCTGTAATGGTCTGAATCTAGGGGAAACAGCTAAGAATCAGGATTCAAAATATATCTTGATAGCTGCACCCCTCCCCAAGCTAGCACAGATTAAAAACAGAATCTGTACTAAAAATTAAGATCTCTTAAGTACAGCATGAAGAGTCTCTGGTATGGCCATAGTTGGTGCGTGAGCTGAGAGTTTCTGCTGACCCCATCCAGGTTGTCTGAAAATATGTTTATCAGTAAACTGTTTACCTGGAGTGTGACTCAGGCAGTGTGTTTGTTTACTGTCCTGAATGTCGCCTGGGCAGGTGTCATGTCAATCAGTGGATCCTCGTATGAAATAAATTTGATAAAGTTGTCATTTTTCTATTTCCCATTATCTTATAAAAATTTGCAAAAAGTATATGCAATGTTTGATCATCCTGTATTTACGTAATTGGACTGGAAGTGGGTAAGGACCAGTGGTAAGGGTGCTTCTGCCGCTTGGGGCCTGTGTGCTGATGGTTGGACTTACTGACCCAGAGGCGATGGGACATCCATTCCTGGGGTCGTGTTCCTCCTTGGTCTGGTCATCACTGAACTGGCAAGCCAGACGCTTAACCTTTTCTGTTCCAACCATTGTCCTGTTGTTGGATGCCCATCACTCTCAGCCTCTGCCCACCAGTGCCTCTGTTCTGTGTTGGTGTGAAAGGCAGATCTAACCGGTTTCCTTCTATGTGTTGAACACCATCCAAAGGTCATCCCCATGCCCAGAGGGCTCGCACCTCCCGGGTGATCTTTCTGAGGACCGCCAGGCTCCTTCAATGTGGATGGGTGAAGCACGAATCTGCTGACATCTCCCATTCACCCTGACGTATCTGCTCACAGCAGCTCAGGCAGGACACTGAGCAAGACTCTGGAACCTTCCATCCTCTGTTCCCCTAAAGGCCCCTGTTCTCAGTGCCACATACAAGCTCAGTGTTTCCCTGCCCTCCCACCTCTACCCTTTGCTCCCTGCTACTTTAAATCGAGACCTGAAATGAGCCAAGTGAGGAAGCAGTCTGTCTTATCTTCCTGAGGGGATAGAGTCCCACATGCCAGTGGTGGACACTGTAGGAGAGGCCTGCTCTGACCACCTGGAAGTCACTTTCTGCAGCTGCAGCCCTCTTCTCTCTGGGGGCAGAGCTGGGCTGGGCTGGGGGAAAGGACATGTGAATGTGTCCAGCTGGAGAGAGCGGAGGAAATAGAAGCTGTGTGAGAAGTGAGAGCCCCTGACCGTCTGGGGGTCCGAGAGGTCCTGATGGCAGAGTCTCCTCTGGCCGCCACGCCTGACCACCCCGTGCTGTCTGTTCTGCGTCTAGGTCGCGATGAGGACCTAGGGCACCTGCCTGCTGACTGCCCCGGCCCACGGTGACCATGGCCCCCCGCAAGAGGAGCCGCCATGGCCTGGGCTTCCTGTGCTGCTTTGGGGGCAACGAGCTCCCCGAGATCAATCTCCAGGACCACTGCCCACTGCAGTACATGGAGTTCTCCAGCCCCATCCCGAACCCGGAGGAACTCAATGTCTGCTTTGCAGAGCTCGTGGTTAGTGAGGGGTCAGGGAGGTTGGTGCTGCAGCTGGGTCGGGGGAGGAAGGACAAGTGGACTGGGACAGAGACAGGAGCCTGTGTGGCGGGTCTCCTCCTCTCCAAACTCCTCCTAGGGCTGAAGCTGGCCCCCGAGAAGCCACCAGCGGTGTAGGAGAAACAGTCACCGGGGTGGAGACCAGGCAGCGGTCCCTAGAAGATTAGTCCTGGCATCCAGACCCTGTCGTGCAGTGGTCTGGCTGCCGTAGGAAAGGGCAGGACCAGGTTCTGTGGCTTCACACGATGGTGAGAATTCTCAAAGAACATCGGAACTCTTAGCCCCTCTTCCCTGTTTCCTGGAGTTTCCCAGGGATCCTTTTATTTTGGAGGTAGGAAGAAGGGACAGAGCAGGATCCTTTGGGGAGAGACTGTGCCCTTTGGAATAGGAGATGACTAGCTAGAAGTTTGGAGGTAGCGATGCTTATAGGAAGCCCAGGACTGGGTTGAGGTCAGGCTGACCACATCCCGTGCCTAGCCAGGGCCAGCCAGGGCTCTTCTCGGTCATCCTAGCCCCTGACTTCCTGACTCTTTGCAATGCCTGTCCAGACCAGCACAGCAGCCTGGCTTTGTGAGAAGCCCTGTGTGTGAAACTGCGGGCTTTGACCACAAAGAGACCGTCCAGGACGGAAGCACGGTCGCTCTCTTTGGAGGGCTGACAGGGGACAAAGCCTGCAGACCCAGGAGGTCCCTGGTGCCCTGGCTGCAGCCCTCAGTGTGAGTCTATCTCCTGTGAGCTCCAGGTTTCCCATGCTCCTAGGGCCAGGAGTCATGCCAGGGGAGGAGCCGTGTAGTTTGGAATATGCTTTCCTCCTCACGTGTTCTTGTGGGCACATCTGGCTCAGCCAACCCAGCCCTTTAAAAGACGGGCCCAGCCGGGCGTGGTGGCACACACCTGTAATCCCAGCACTCGGGAGGCTGAGGCAGGAGGATCGCTGTGAGTTCAAGACCAGCCTGGGCTCCATGGTGAGTTCCAGGCCAGTCTCAACTACATAGTGAGACCCTGTCTCAAAAACCAAGAAAAGGCCCGATGCAAGATGAGAGCAGGCAGGTTGGGTGGCAAAGTTGCCAGGCTTTCTCCTCGTGTCAGGTTGAGGAAATCTCATTGTTTTCTGATTTATCCCTTTCCCCGGGCTGGCGTGGGGAATAGAGTGTTTGCTGATATGGAACAGTATGTGGAGCCTGATAGTTACTGGGGACGTTTTCTTGAGTGGAGTGTGTGAGTCGTACAAGAAGGGTGTTGCGAGAGGTGTTTTTTTCTTTGTTGCCGGCAAAAATAGGCTCAGCGTCTTTGTGAAGCGGATCCTTGCAAGGTATTTTAGCACAAGCAAGGATGAGCAAAGTCTGAGCCTGGAGTCAAGTGTGGAGCAAACGAATGAGAAAGCTCCCTTGGGGAGACTGCCCAGTCCTCCCTTCCCGTGGGGGACCCAGGGTGTAGAGATGACTCCTCAGACAGGCACTGGCTCCAGAAAGGGAAGTCTTGTGGGGTAAAGAGACTGCTTTTGAAGAGCAGTTTCACCCCTGTTAGACAGGGAACCTTCTCACCCAAGTCACCCCCAAGTAACTCTAAGTGAGCTCCAAATATGACAGCCTCGGAATCTCCCCAGTTCCACCCCTTGGGTAGTGCAGACCAGCCCAGTGGAGCCCCAGTCTGGAGTCTGCACTGCCTGCTCTTGGTGTCTGGGTGGGGAGGGGCTGTCCCCACAGGCAGCCCTGCTGCAGAGCAGATCAACACCCTCCTTGGTGGGTGCACCCTTCCAGCTCTGTCTCGGATGTCACCAGTCCTCCCGCAGCCCACACTGGGACCCGTGCCGAGCCTGGGGGCGCCAGGAATGAGCGTTTGGGAGACAGACTTAAAGGGCAGATCGACTTGAAGCACGGGGCAGAGGTCGAGGTAGCGGTCAGCCCGGGTCTGTAGATGACTCTGTGAGCCCTTGAACTCTGGTGTTAGCAAGCTTGGGAAGGCCACAGGCAGGGAAATTACTAATAAGAAACCCAGGGCAAGAGGTTGAGGGACCTTAGGAGGCTGAGGCAGGAGGAGGATCAGAAGTTCAAGCTCAATGTGGGCAATTTAACCACTTAGTGAGAGACACAGTCTCAAAATAGAATTTAGAGGATGAGCTGGGGATGGGGCTCCTGCCAAGACCCTAGGCTCCATCCCCAGTGCTGCAGCACAAAAACGCAAAGGATGAGGGAGAAGCAAAGCAAAGCAATGCAGGAGGAGGACAGAGGACGGGGTGGCCCGGAGAAGGTGTAGTGTGGACAGGAAGGAAGGCAGCAGGATTACAGAAGGGCTGAGGCGGTACCCATTGCAGGCAGAGGAACGTCTGCCTTACCACATATTGAATCTCTGGGAGGAAGGAGTGGGCCGAAGGGCAGGTTTGAGGGGCTGAGCATTATAACTTCAGCCATTCCTGGGGTTCAGACCGCTTTGTTCTTGTGTCCTCAGGACGAACTGGATCTCACCGACAAAAACCGGGAGGCTGTCTTTGCACTGCCCCCCGAGAAGAAGTGGCAGATCTACTGCAGCAAGAAGAAGGTGCCCCTCCGAACCCCGCGGCGCCTCGGGTCAGGCCAGATCACACTCACTCAGGAGCTGCCCTGTTCCCTGCTCTCTTCCTGGCGCTGGGAGGAACAACACCATAGGAAACCTTGGGGTGCAAATGCAGGGAGCTGGGGTTTGCTTTCACACATCCCTGCAACTGAGGCACCCGTGGCTTCCGGGAGTCGTGTGGGCCGCAGAGATCAGCTCAGGAGTCTCCTGCCCTTACTGTGTGCGGCCGCACTCGGGTGCAGTCGGGTCTTCTGTGGGTCTTCTGCCTCCACCCCGTCCCAGGCCTGGGTCACACATGGGTTCTCATTCTTCTCTTGTTCCTTGCAGTGCAACATTGGCTTCCTGACTGTGGTTCTCCCTAGAAAGGGGTGTGGTGGGCTCTGGGTTTATTATTGTTATTTTTTCGTTCTTTGGAGACAAAGTCTCACTCTGTAGTCCAGGCTGATCTCGAACTTGCAGCAATCCTCCTGCCTCAGCCTTCCCAGGGCCCTGAGGAATTTTGTCTCTCCCTCTGGTTTCTTGGCAGTGCTAGCCCATTTGTAGCCCTTCTGTTGTGACAAGAGGTAGGGGCTGTGTGTGCTGCAAGCTTTGGCCTAGAGTCACAATGCACATTTATTAAGCACCTACAGAATACATTGCTGTGTCTAAGAATCTCATTGTGAGAGAAACAGGCTTTTAAAAAGCTCAAGTCAGGGAAGAAAGGAAGGGGGAGTAAAATTCAAGTCATCCTATCTCGTACTTTCCCCCTTGCCACGTTGATTTCTATGGGCTTCCCTTAAGTTGATCTCTTATGTAGCTAAAGTCAATGACTTAATGAAATGTAAGAGCATTTCACTGTTTTCCAAACCAAATTGTGGGGGATTTTTCCCCCAAATTTTCATGGATTTCCTCTGTCTCTAGCATCCTCCCCACCTGTTGTAGCCTAAATAATTGTTAGTAACCCAGTCTTCCCAGTCTACGCCTGCCCAACCTGTCACAGCCTCCTTATAGGCCACCGTTCATGTGGACAGTTCTACCACAGAGCATTGACTCCTTCTTTTGGTGCTGGGGTATTGTAGCCAAGGACAAGACCATAACTTTTTCCTCACCACTGAGTGATCAGCATTTAGTAGGTGCTCATTAAACACACAGAAGCTGGACAGCAGTGAGGCAGCTGATGCAAAAGTGTGTGTGTGTGCATGTGTGTGTGTGTGTGTGTGTGTGTGCTCTGAGGTGGCTGTTTTTGGCTGAGGGATTCCCTCCCCAAGAAGACAGAATGATGGGCCTTCAGTCCTAAAGACCTTAACACATAAAGCCACGTGAAGGCGCAAAGACCAGAATGAGGTGGTTTTCCCACTGGTGTACAGTGTGGGTTTTATGAACAGAACAGTGAAGTTGGAGTAGACAGAGCCCGGGGGTCAGAGGCTCCCCAGGGAGGTGAGGAGGCAGTGAGTCTTGGTGCTGACCAGCTAAGAGCACAGGAGGGCGGGTCCTGAGTGACCAGGGCTCAGGGACGGGAAGGAGCAGGATGAGGTTGCACCCTGGTGCAGGTCCACTTAGGGTCCAGCCAGCACTCGGACTCACCAAGCTCCCTGCGTTCCTGCCCACGCCAGGGGAGGAGCCAAGTTTCCTCTTGGGCTGAGTTTTAACCCTTCTCCCTCCCAGCTGCACAGGAAAAAGCGACAGTGACTAAATCATAGCCCTAGGCCCTTGCCAGAGACCAAGACCTCATGAGTCAGCCCAACTCACTCTGTTTTTGTAGTTGCTAGCTATTTACCAAGTACCTGCTGGGTACCTGCCACTGGCCCAGATGCTTTACGTTAGCATTCTTAAGCTGCGAGAAAGACCCACCCCAGACCAACACTTCTGAATGATATTATTAGGAAAGTGAAAGGTGTATAAAATATAAGGACAGACTTGTATTAGACTCAACCCCCATAGTTATATTTTACTAAATACAGGCAGAACAAATATAGCTGGAGAAAAGACCATTTTTTTAAAAATGTACTTGTTGCCCACCAAAAATAAACCCCTGCATAGCCCCTGCCCGTCCTATGCCTGGTTGTAAGATTCAGTTTTCCTAATCTGCGTTTGACCTGGGAAGAGATGGAAGTCTGGGGAGTTTGCCTCTTCCCTCAAGTCGCCCCCTGTGGGCAGGTTGGGAACTGCAGCCCTGTGTTGCCTGGATGAAGCTCAGGGCCTCAGGCCATCAGCCTGCCCTGCCACATGGGCCAGACTGACCATCGTCTTGTTCCAGGAGCAGGAGGACCCCAACAAACTGGCGACCAGCTGGCCTGACTATTACATTGACCGCATCAACTCCATGGCTGCGGTGAGTGGCCGCTCCCTTCCTGCCCTGCTGCCACCTAGAAAGTCCATGGGAGCTGTGGCGCCCCCCCCGGCCACACTAAACCATCTTTTCCTTCTCCTCTGTGCCCTATTCATCAACTTCCTAGCATTCCCAAGATCTGAAATCCATTCTCTCTCCTGTGGGACTTCTGAGTCTCCTAACATTTAGACAGGTATCAACCCATCTGGACATCACACGAACTTGGGAAACAGATTCTCCCTGTTTCCCAGATGAGGAAAGTAGAGTCCTGTCCCAGAACCTGGGTCTGCTCGGAGTCCGACACCGTCTCAGTAACCATTCCTTGAGGCCTCGACCTTCCCGAGGCCTCTTGAGTCTCCCCAGGGAAGGTGGGGGGATGAGTTGCCCCCCATGACTTCTGTCCCCCTTTCCCCATTGGTGCTGCAGATGCAGACTCTGTACGCCTTCGATGAGGAGGAGACAGAGATGAGAAACCAGGTTGTGGAAGACTTGAAGACGGCTCTCCGGACACAGCCCATGAGGTGACTGCTCATTTCCCTCCCTGACTTCCCCCACCCCAGGTGGGCTTTCCCCTGACTTCCTGAAGCCCCGTGTTCTCATGCTGGTCCGCGCTCCACTCCTAGAATTCCCTTGAGTCAGCCACCTTCTCCACCCCCAGAAGCCATTGCTCCGCTGGGAAGCTGCTGGGGTGGGCGGAGTGAAGAGGGAAAGGCAACGCGGTCCAGTCCCGTGAACCTGGGGGTCCTGAGGAGTTCTCTAAAGAGCAGGCAAGGCAGGCTTAGTTGTAGGAGGGAGAACAGAACAAGAGAGTGGCTGGAGGGACGGTGTATCCCAACCGGGAGGAAGGTGGACGGGTGGCCTGAGACGTATCCAGCCACTAGGGGGAGGTGTGGAGTCCGTGGAGAAGGCCATCGTGGAGGCAAGTAAAGGAGGAGAGATGGCCTAAGGCCAAAGGAGGACGCTTCCTCCTTCCTACACCACGCGGTGGGGGGGTCTGAAGACAGCCAAGACCACAGGACCCCCATGCACTTGGCTCTGCCCGGTGGTGGTTTGTTGGAAGTGTCTCATGTCAGCCGGTGGGAACCCATTGTTAAATCTTGAGCAATTTTGCAAACCAGTTGTTCCGCATAGCTTTGATTAAAATTTAAATTACATAAAACATGATTAAATAAGTTATATTAAAGGCCATACTTGAAAGGTATCAGCCCCTAATTACCTGATTATTTCTCCTATGTTCTGCTACTGCGCACTCTCTAGTGTTCTGCTCTTGAGTTTGCGTTCACTGGGTGTGTACGGTGGAGACACTGGACAATGGTGTGTCTCTTTCCAACGCCCCGCGCAGTGACATCAGGTCAATACCTTGAACGCGGCTCTCTTAGGAAGCATCAGGGCACAGAAGTGCTATGTGCATTGAGGTCTCTGCCCCAGGAGCTGAAGGCTGTAGCATCCTAGTCCCCAGGCCCTCTGCCAGGCTGGGGTCACTGTGGGAAGAGCACGCAAGAAAGCATAAGGTGGTCCGGAAGCAAAGGAGCTTGAATGGGGGGTGTGCCACGTTCACCCCACTTTAATTCGTTTTCATTTCCCTTTCATATGATTCCAGTTACAAAAGTTATGCATAGTCATTCTAGAAATGTTGTGGAAAATAGAAAGGCATAATAGAAAAAAGTAAAAAAAAAATACCTATTGTTTAAATCTGAGAGCATATTCTATTGTTCCAGGCACATTTGGACGAGAGCATAACCTACCTACGGATACATTTATGTATTAATTATGTGTTGTGTTTCCTAAGCTCAATTTATGACCCCTTCTTTATATCTTTATATTACTACATGAAAGATCCTAAATCTTTTTCTTTTCACTGTGTGTGTTGCTATGGATATCTGGTGCTCAGAATAAACCTATGGGCTGCTTCTCAAAAGTGATGTCTTTTGAAATAACCTAATAAAATAGAGAGGGTTAAAAAAATAAACCAATTCAATTAAAATATAGCTACCAAATATTAAAAATGCATGAGATTGCAGTAAATGTGCTTCTTTATGCCTTCAGAAAGAGCTGGGAGTGGGTCTGATAACCACCATCATCTTGAAGTACCGCTGAGTGGGAACGATATTTTGAGATAGCTGCTGAAATGAAAATTTGCTATGAGAATACCGATGCTTTCTTTGGGTGACAAAGTCACAGATTCTGCTAATAGCACTGTCCTTTATAGCCTACATCCATCGCTGGAGGAAATGCTCAGTTTTAGCTAGAGGTTATCAGAAATGAGGATGTAATTTTCTTTTCCTATCCAAGTCTTCGAACCTTTGAATGGTGGTACCCATAGACCCTTCGGGGGAACCCGGACTCCAGGCTAAGGACCCCTGAACTAGATGGGTTTCATTGTTTTCTGCTAACACTCAAGATAACTAACTCTGCTGTTTCCTCAAGGACTCCTGAAGTATAACTTCACTGCCTTGGTCTCTTGATTCGATGAGTCTGGTGGCCTTGTGTGGCCATCGGACTGATTCTTTCCATTCCCATTCTTATTGGAGAAGAGTCTTCAGGTTTTCCAATCATCTCTTACCCACATTCTGCTTTAGCTATGCAGCTGACAGTCATGGTATGCAAATGTACAGTATTTAAAATGCAAGTGAGTTGCAAGGTTTCATTCTGGGCGGATGGTAGGGTTTTAGTGCTTTGGATAAACTTTATAAATGAAAGCAGTAGCTACTGCAGGTGGGGTTTATTGTACACAGGAAGAGGGTCACTGATTGTAAAATGTAGGAAGTGTGGAAAGCAGACCCAGGCAACCTGTTCTGCTGCTGGCTCTGGCTGGTAGGTTTGTGACCCGCTTCATCGAGCTGGAGGGCCTGGCCTGCCTGCTGAATTTCCTCCGGAGCATGGACCATGCCACCTGTGAGAGCCGCATCCATGCCTCCCTCATTGGCTGCATCAAGGCGCTGATGAACAACTCGCAGGGGCGGGCGCACGTGCTGGCGCAGCCCGAGGCCATCAGCACCATCGCGCAGAGCCTGCGCACCGAGAACAGCAAGACCAAAGTGGCCGTGCTGGAGATCCTGGGTGCCGTGTGCCTCGTGCCTGGGGGCCACAAGAAGGTCCTGCAGGCCATGCTGCACTACCAGGTGTACGCAGCAGAGCGCACACGCTTCCAGGTAGGTACAGTGCCTGGCTGCCTTGTGCTGCAGCAGAGCTGGGCAGAAGTGAGGCGTGCTGCTGGGGATGGCATGGGCTGCATGCCTGCTGCCAGAAGGAAGAGAGGCCTGGACCAGAGGGCTCAGCCCGCCAGACACCAGGGCTTATGAGTCTTATGAGTCGTGAGCCTGGCTGGAAAATGGACTGGTCCTCCTTGCTCACTAGGATGCGGGTTCCCAGACCCTGGAGCATCAGTTTGCTTAGTTTTTTGTGGCTCAGCATCTGGTTCATGGGTTTGCTGGGGCCAAGACATTAGGTCCGAAGCTGGGGCCAGTGCCCGGTGCCGGGATGCTGGGGTCAGCTTGAGGACCTCAGGCCACACTGTCCTCTGTTCTTCTTTCGGACTTGCTAGAAAAGTACCATGGAAATAGCCAAGAAATAGAAAGTGTTGTACGCCCTGCACAGAGGGGGCCTCTGTAGACGTGAGTCAGTTCCGAAGTCTGTGGTTTATGTGCCAGAACTGGGTCATTCGTTTATTCTGTCGTCAAATGTGTTCGAGCCCTAGCTGTGTGTGGACTACGGCCCCTGATCCTTTGAAGGAGTAGAAAAGGGGCTAAGGTGTAGCTGTGGAGCTGTTGGGAAGTTGGGCAGGGAGAACTCGGGGCTCCAGCTGGAGGAGTTTGAAAGCCGCCCCGCCTGCAGAAGGAACATAGCGGAGGCCTGAGCGGGGCTGGGGCTGCGGTGTGGCGAGGCCATGGCGGCTCCTTGAAGAGGTGAGGCCTGAGGTGTCCGAGACGGCCTGGGGAAGACCATGTGGGCCGAGACAATGGATGGGGCTCCTGTCAGGAGCAAAGGGGTCGAAGTTGAAGTTTAGGATCCTGAACCTAACCCTGTTCTGCCTTCCCACCCAGACTCTGCTGAATGAGCTGGACCGTAGTTTGGGTCGGTACCGGGATGAAGTGAACCTGAAAACAGCCATCATGTCCTTCATCAACGCCGTCCTCAATGCTGGTGCTGGGGAGGTGAGGCCCCTTTCCTTGGCTCGGTGTGTGTGTGTGTCCTTCCCGGTTAAGTGGCAGAGAAAAGAGCCAAAGCGTCTGGGTGGTATATCGTATCATCTTCAAATTATCTTTAGAGCCTCTTCCGTCCCTCACTCGGGCCTCACTGTCACGAGGGTAACAGAGTGTCGGCCGGCCCTGGACCTCCTGTAACCTACAATCTGTCTTATTAGGGGTTCTTCCTCGCTGTGTTAAGGACAAATTCTGACTCCGTTTGCCGATAAAATTCTTCTTGCTTTACCTGAACCTGGGGGCGCTCCCAGGAGTTTCCTATAGAGGCAGCATGGCATGATCTAACTGAGACCGAGCATTTCCTTCGGTGGCCTGTGTAGGCTATAAAAAAAGCAGTGCTATGAGCAGAAGCACAACAGATTTCCAGCAAGCCCGGCTGATCAGGGCAGCAGGGGCTCACTGACGAGAGGAGGGCCAGTTTCCAGCCCCTTTTTTTAGAGCGTTCTAGACGCTTCTGCACGCTTTCTGGGTTAGTTGGAGGCAGTCTGGTAGCACTTTCCCTTAGAAGGCGTGGCTTTTCCTTTGGAATCAGGATTGGATTCTTAGACCATCAAAATGGCAACATTAGAAGAACTTGAAGAGCAGATAGAAGCTCCAGACTCTTAAGGCAATCAGATGCCCTGGTCAAGGTCAACCGGAAGGACAAAGAGGGTCAAAGGAACGATTCAGGGATCTCTGCCTGTCCCTGTTTTCTGCCAGAACACGTTTGTTTTTGCACGCGGCCCTGCTAACCTGCATTAGGTACAGTTGGCTGGGGGAATAACCTGTCCCTGGTGCTGACATCACCTGTGTCACTGCCAGTTCCTCATGGCTGGCACCCATTCCGATCAGTACGTAGCTGTACTGCATCGGGTGATTCTGGTGACCATCATCCCTGTAGGTCAGTTGGGTCATGCCTGTTTTATAAATGAGGAAACTAAGGCTTTGCCAAGACCACAAAACTCAGGAGAGACAGAGCACAGACTTAGGGCAGGACTTGCCTGACACCGAAGCCCCTGCTTGCTATCACTTCACAGCTCTGCTCTTGGAGGCCAGAGGCTAAGAGGACTCTGGTGAGGGTCCAGAAGGACACGAGGCAGGACCCCCAAAGGGACTGGGCAGTGGGCTTGTTCTGAGATGGCGGGGTCAAGGCCATCTCCCTGGTGGTGATGGGGGCTCCATGAGCGACTTGGGGGCATGAGGCCACCCACTGTGTCTGGTCCTCCCTTGGTTACCCTCAGGATAATCTGGAGTTCCGGCTACATCTACGGTATGAGTTCCTGATGCTGGGGATACAGCCTGTGATTGACAAACTCCGGCAACATGAGAACGCCATCCTGGACAAGTAAGATCGGCCTCAGTCGCTGGGTCAGTCCTAGGGCAGATGTGTGGGGGGCTGCTCAGCTAGGGTGGGCAGCACCTTTGCCGAGGTTCTCCTTCTCATAGGACCACGTGCTGTGCCCAGCGTAGGGTCCGAATCGGCTCTCTGGGGGACAGATGTCCTCTGCTCACCTGCTGGTCTCAGTCCCTAGGTGATCAGCAGGGGAATGAGGCAGTTGTCCTCCACAGCTGCGCTGCCCCCTGTGGGCCATCGGGAATATGTTGGGGTGTTCTTTGGTTTTCAAGTCAATGGCTGCGGACTCTATGCCATGAGCTGCCGGGGATCAAGAATGCTCAACACCCGGTAGAACACTCCTGCTTGACACGGAGATAGGCCGCCCCCAACACGTGTTGTTGGTGGGAGGACCTAATGAAATTGTGTGTTACTGCTTCCATCAGTACAGGCTGTTCTGTTACCAGGGTTTCAAGGGAGAGAGGGTGGATCCCTTGTGAGATGGAGCAAGTCAGCGTGTTGCTGTGGTTAGAAAACAAGAGAGAGAGGTTGGCTTTGAGGGCTGACTTGAGAACCACACGAGGACGTGGAGGAAGCTCGGTGGGGGACAGCAGTTCTTGACTGGGGGCCATTGCATCTTCTTGGCAGTACCTGGAGATGTTCTTGGCTGTCCCATTTAGAGGCACAGATCGGCTGACATCTCGTGGGTAGAGGCCATGCATGTTAAACCTTCTGCAGCACCCAGATCAGCCTCCCACGGCCAGGGATCGCTAAGCCTAAAATGCCAGTCATGTCAGAGTTGAGAAAGGCTGCTCTGTGCTGCTGGGCCTCTAGGAAAGCAGGCCAAGGGCAGAGGGGGTGCAGGCCGACAGATAGGTGGCTGCTTTCCAGTTTTGCCTCCGGCTCACCTGAGTGAAGCATTCAGATGCAGCTGGAATTGAAGGAGCTGCAACCCTAAGCCATGGACGTCCTGGCAGTCACTTCTCTGTCCCTCTACCCTGTCTAGGCACCTAGACTTCTTTGAAATGGTCCGGAATGAGGATGACCTTGAGCTGGCCCGGAGGTTTGACATGGTGAGGAGCTGTGGGTGGGGTGGCGGCACTGGGATCCCAGGCGCACTTGCCAATAGCTGCTACAGTCCAGGGCTGGCCGGGGGGCAGTGTCCACTGGGGCCCGAGGGGTGCACTAAAGCTAGGTATTGCTTCTGGAGCCCTGTGGGGTGCTGGCTGTGGTGGCCTCCCCTGATGGGCCACACCTGGTCATCGCCCCCAAAGCAAAGAGAGCCAGTGCCTGCATATGATTAGGCTCCAGAGCCTTCCTGGGCCTGATTTTCCCATGCCTTCTAGCAATTTCCTGAGACCCCCCTCTCTCTTTCTACCCCTAACCAGGTTGTGCTTAGCAAAGCAGATCATATTTTTATTTTTACCTTGGCCAACCTGACAGCATACCACCACTGGTTCAATATTCCATTATAAAAAGTCCTCCCAGACAGGAACATCCTCCTTAGTGGTGCATGGGGAACCGAGTGCCGCCCCACTGTGCTCTCACCAAAGCCTGGGTCCGAGCCTCATGAGCTGGCCTTAGTGGGAACGAGCAGCCCCCCGGTTGTCACACAGCGAGAGTAGATCCGCGACTCGAACTCAGGTGGTGGACCTGTGTCTCAGGCCTTGTGCTGCTCTGAAGCATCCACTCCTGGTTCTTCCCCTTAGTTTGAATCAGTAGTTCTCAACCACAGGTGCTTTTCGTCCCCCCACCCCAAGTGGGCATATCTGCCAAAGCTGGAGACATTTTGGTTGTCACACTTGGAGAAGGGGAGCGAAGGACAGGGTGCTACTGGCCTGGAAGGGCAGAGGCTGGAGACACTGGCAAGCGTCTTACAGTACAAAGGTAACCCCTGCAGGGAGAGTTGTCTGGCTCAGGGGCCCCGCAGTGCTGAGAAGCAGAAAGCCTCGTTTATGGCATGAGCCTCTCTCCCCTCTTCTTTTCTCCATCTTTCTCCTTTGAGCCTGGGCCAGGCAGGGGAAGAGAAGCCCTTGTAGGAGAGGGCTCAGCAGTGGAGACGCAGTCCTCCCCCACTCACCCAGCCCCTCACCCTCAGGTCCACATCGACACCAAGAGCGCCTCCCAGATGTTCGAGCTGATCCACAAGAAGCTGAAGCACACCGAGGCCTACCCCTGCCTGCTCTCTGTCCTGCACCACTGTCTGCAGATGCCCTGTGAGTGCCCTGTTGCCCAGCTGCCCTGAGAGCTGAGCTTGGCTCAGGGCATTGGGAGACGTGAGACTTAGGAGGGACCTCTCTGTGCTGGGGAGTCTGACTGTTTTGCTCTTCACTTGCTCTTGGAAGCCCAGGGCCTGTGACTCGGGCCCCTCCTCTCAGGGTCAGCACCTCCACTGTCACCTTGGGGAGGAGCCAGAGATGTGGCTCTGAGTAACCCCAACATCTTCATGCAGCAAGCATTGGCTTGGTCATTGCAAAACCAGACAGCTCTGCGGTCAGCTCATGACAGACAAGTACTCAGTACTCGTGGTTTTCTGTGTGTGTGTGTGTGTGTGTGTGTGTGTGTGTGTGTGTGTGTGGTACGAGGGATTGGACCCTGGGCCTTGGCACTAAGCTACATCCTTAGCCCTTTTTTACTTTGAGACAGTCTCTCCAAGTCACCCAGGCTGCGTTCAGCTTTGTGATTCTTCTGCCTCACCCTCCCAGAAGTCCCTGATGTTAATTCCAGAAAGAAGTTCCGTGCTTATGGGAGGAGTCCGACTGTAGGATGAGCTTGCTTTCTGTGTGTGTGTGTGTGGTGTGTTTAGTCTAGTCCTCGCTGGCCCTCACCCTAACCCTCTTGAGTCTGCAGCTCTCCACAAACCCCAGATAGCATCTTGGGAGCAGGCGGTTAAATTCTTTCTACATAGGTGAGCACAGTGACTCATGCTTGCTAATAACTACCCCAGAATTCCATTGGCTGTCACAGCAATGTTTGGCACTTTAGTGTCTCACAAAAGAGAACATTTTGAACCTTCATGTGGTCCACCAAAATGGCCAGCTTAGTCAGGCTTGCCAGAATGGTGGTGCTGGTAGTGACAGTCACTAGAGTTCATAGCGTGCCGGTGGAGCTCCGTGGATGGAAACCGGGTCTTCTCCCCGCTGTTCTGCTCTCCCGCTGCTTGTCCTCTGCCGTTCACTGTGCCCCCCACCCCTAGGCCACATGGACATCAGAGTTGAGGCACGGCGTAAGGTCCCATCGCAGGCCATTGCCTGTGCACCTCACGCCGACACAAGCAGCACACACCCTCAACTCCGTCCTTCAGGCTGGGTGACTTCTTTAGATACAGGGGGAATTTCCCTTTACTCGGATTCTGGGTGGAACACGTTCCACCTCTGGGAGCCGTGCTGTGTTTACCTGGCTGCAAAGTAAACAGACAGCGCTGCCGCTTGGCAGAGCCTGTGTTGATGGAACCCTGGGGAGGGAGATGGAGGTAGGGAGCTGGACCAGGAAGCTGCCAGTTCTCCCAATGCAGCCCAGGAGGTCTCCGTGGAAGATCTGGGAGGATCCGGGAGGCCTCATCTCTTTTGCATCCAGTAGTTTCTGTGCTTGGTGTCCCAGGAGCAACACGAGTGGGTCCCTCCATTCTCCTTAGAAACGGGGCTTTAAGGGCGCGATCTGAGTGGAGACAGAAGTGGACGTCAGGTTCTACCGGTGGACTTCTATTGGTACTCAGTAGAGGCGAAATCTTGGGATCAAGGGCCAAGGAGGAGTGGCTATTGTGTGAGAACAAAGCCCACACCCAGCCGGGCTATGGTTATAGGGGAGGAGGCACAGCACACAACGCCTTTGTCTTCTCAGCTCTAGGTCATCTTCCCCAAGACATCTTGGTTTCCATGATTCACTTCTTTAACTCACTGTGATGCTCTCTGGGTGCACAGCTGCAATCAGTTCCCATTCATCTTTTCTGTGGAGCAATAACATAGATAATCCTGAAATCTTTTTTTTAAAAATTTCCCCCTAGAGCTTATATTATCAGGCATGTGATATTTTAGAACAGGTGCTTTGTGTAGATAATGAAACAAATCAGTCCGCATGTCTAGGCCACACTATGCCCAGAGTCCCAGCAGGGAAGAGAAGCGGCCAGGAAGCACTCGTGGAGGGAAGAAATATGTCGGGAGGGTTGGCACGTCCAGAGGAGGTCAGGAGCAGGTGATGGGGAGGTGCCTGGGTTTGCGAGCCTCCGCTGTGAGTAGCTGTGGTGCCTCTTCCGTCAAGCTGGGGGCTTCCTGTGCGAAGGGAGCGCCACACCCTCCCAGCGGGAGCCAGCGCAGTCTTGGGCAGGGCTCCCAAGCCTCCCGAGCTCAGTCCAGATGTGATGCCTGTTGTCCCTCAGACAAGCGGAACGGTGGCTACTTCCAGCAGTGGCAGCTCTTGGACCGCATCCTACAGCAGATCGTCCTGCAGGACGAGCGGGGCATGGACCCTGACCTGGCCCCACTGGAGAACTTCAATGTCAAGAACATTGTCAACATGTGAGTCATGGCCAGCCACTGACTGCCTTTTGCCATTTTTCCATCTGCCTGTCACTCTGGGTCTCACTGGGGGCCCCTCAGCTCTCTCAGCCTGGTCAACCCCTAATGGTCCCGAGAGGATTGTCCGACAGTACAACTCTAAACCTGGAAACGTGTCGTTTCTACACTGTCCAGTGGGGTGGTGGAATGTGTGTGTAGTGTGACTGAGGAACTGAATTTTAAGGTCCACTTCATTTATATGTGAGTGGCAACATGACTTGTGGCCGGAGAGGACCCTATAGGAGGCACAGGTGTACGGGGAATGTTCTCCACTCTCAATAACCCACTGCCTGGGTTGGAGGGGATTTACAGACATTTACACAGCTCCCTGGTCAGCACAGCCTCCAGCTTGCTTTGGTGTGACCATGAACTAAGGACAGTTTTTGTGTTTTTAACACAAGAATATATGACAGGTGTGGTGCGTGGAGCCTATGCTGTCTACTGTGGCCCTCTCTACAAAGTTTGCCGGCCCCTGCCTGACACAGCATGGCCATTTGAGCACCAGCCTGGTAACAGGGTGGTCAGAGCTTGCGACTGAGAGACCCTGAATAGAGAGGGATGCAGAGAAAGGAATTCAAACTTGCATCAGTTAGTAACGATGCCCCACACTGATTTTTTTTTCCTGTACCAGGGACTGAACTCGGGACCTTGTGGTTGTGAGGCAGGCAGCGGCACCACTGAGCTAAATCCCTGGCTCTGCACAATGATTTTTAATCTGAAACTTTTACTTAACTTTTAACGTAGGAGCTGACTGTCCTTCAGAGGCTACACTGACACTCAGCAATGCGTTAGACTGCGTCCCAAAGCCAAGCAGAAAAGGGATTTTGAACTCTTCTTGCTTTTATTTGTGGTCAGATGTTGACATATATTGGACAGTTAGCAAAGTAACCAGGAGGCCGCTTTGATTTTCTTGTCTGCAAGCCCCGTGCACTATGTAGTGGAGAAGCTTTCCCAGCATCAGAGGCCGACAACTCCTCAGGTCCGATGAGGGCTTGGTTCCTCCTTAGGCAAGAATTTCTATGATTTCTTTAAGCTGCTGCCTCCAGGAGGGCAGGTTGTGGGTGTAAATCGGCATTCGAGGCTGGACTTAGCCTTGCCTCTGTCCTCCACTGGCTGGGGCCAGGAGGCTGGGACCGGAAGGGCACTGGTGTTGCCCGTTTGTGTTCAGACTGGCTTCTTTTCCCATTTTTATTTTCCCTGCAACCCCCTCTGTGTTCCAGCTGCATTTCTACTGGCCAACCAGGTTTGGCCTTTTCCAGAGGTAGCCTGAGGGCAGGATGGTCAAAGGAAAAGGTCTGAATTGGTCAGGTAACGGAGCATGTGGGCTTCCTGCTCCCTGGACTCCACACATGGGAGGACACGGGTTCCTCGCCAGGTGCCAGCTCAGAGTTTTCCCAAGCCCGCTGGCTGCTACCTGCCCTCCCACCAGGCCCTGGTTCCCTGGTAGCCCGTTTGCACCTCCACCCACAGTGTTGCTGTCCTAGTTTTCTCCCAGGTGGACTCTGGGAAGGACTTCCTGTTGCTTCACCCCATTTCTGCCGTGAGGTGGACTATTGCCCCTCATAGCCATGGATGGCTCCCACAGGCCCTCCCATGCCTGCAAACTAGGCATGAGGCAGGTCCCACACAGCGGTGCTGACCTTGTCTGCCCTCCTTCCCCCTGTGGATTTGCCAGGCCCCGACTGGGACCCTGCCCTACCCTCCTTCCTCCCAGAGCTAGAGGACAGGGGTCAAAACTCTGGGAAGGACCAAAGAACACCCTTGCCTGGATGGAGATGAAAAGACTTAGCGCCCCAAGGACCAGGGCGATGGCTCCCTCCAAAGAAATCTCAGCACCAAATCCTGCCCCTTCTCCATGCCCTGTCCCCTCTTTATATCCTTGATTTGGCTGAGGCCAAAAGTCATGGATCTGAGCCATCCCATTTATAGAAGAAACGCTTCCTTGGACTCTCACTTTGGGATTTTGACCCTTGGTGTATCTGGTGTCTAGGTTTAACTCCTTGTTACAAGAGTCGTGTACATGAGGCCCTGCTAGTTTCAATAGTTTCCCCTCACCCTCCAAGCCTTACTGGGATGTTGGGTTCTCTGGCTCTTACACACTGGCCTTTGGGAGCCTGTGCTGTGGTACGGCTCGCATTTCTTTCTCCCAGATGCATGGAACCATTTTCACAAGGGGCATAATAGTCTGTACAAGTAAGACTCGAGATTGAGTCCCACGTCTGCCATTAATTAGCTCTCATCCCCATCTGGTCCCCGAGCCTCAGCAGCTTCAACAGTTGCACAAAAGGGTTGGACCGAGGTGGCTCAGGCCCTTTCTGTTCTCATGGTCCAAGGGGATGCACAGTAACGACTGGGCAGGCATGATGCCCGGAGAGGCATCTGGATGTCAGAATGCTAGTCTCCTGGGTGTGGCTGCACAGATTGGAGATCATGGTCCAACCTGGCGTGGAGAGCTGTCTGCTGGAAGCGGTCAGCTAATGGTCAGCAGCCACGCTCCCCCTCCCCTCTTCTGCCCCCAGGCTCATCAATGAGAATGAAGTCAAACAGTGGCGAGAGCAGGCAGAGAAATTCCGGAAAGGTGAGTGGCCCTGCCCAGCGGGTGCACAGCCCACGCCTCTCCCACCTCAGCCAGCCTGGGTCCCCATCGCCTCCCCCAGAAAGGCCACCCGTGGTCCCTCTCTGTCCTCCCAGAGCACTTGGAGCTCATGAGCCGGTTGGAGAGGAAGGAGCGGGAATGTGAGACGAAGACTTTGGAGAAGGAGGAGATGATGCGGACGCTGAAGAAGATGAAGGACAAGCTGGCCCGGGAGTCCCAGGAGCTGCGCCAGGCTAGGGGACAAGTGGCAGAGCTGGTGGCACAATTCAGCGACCTCTCAGTACGTGGACACTTTCTCCCCTTTACGTAGCTCAGCAGACACCTGGGGCTGCAGAGCCGTGGGGCAGCGTGTGTATGGTGGAGCCAGGGACCCCATGATGAAGGAGAAGAGGAACTGGGGTCTCAGGTCAGGACCCAAGGGACCACCGGGTCTGTATGGGTAAATAGCTTCGTGTCAGTTAGAAAACACAGTGCCCCTTGCCCTGAGGACACTGACCCAGGAAGCTCACCGTGGACAGCAGAGAGCAGGGGCATTTCTGCTCCCCTCACCTTCTCAGCCTTATGCATTCAGGAGTCTGTACACCTGTATGAATCCATCCTGCTGTTCACTGGGATGACAGTGACTCAATTGTCCAGTGTCCACATGTATCTGTGGGGGGGGGTTGGATATTTGGGATGCAGAGAAAGAAAAATGGGAGTAGAAAGTAGGAGGCTGACCAGGAGTCTCATGTAGATGGAGAAGAAAAAGAAAGGACGGTGTCTGTGCTGATAGCTTTGTCTTCCTGATTTTCTGTCCTTCACAGACGGGCCCTGTACCTGCTCCACCTCCCCCCGGGGGCCCACTTCCCTTGTCCTCCTCTGTGACAACCGATGACCTGCCTCCGCCCCCGCCCCCTCTGCCCTTCACCTCCGCCCCCACCGCCCCTTCCGCCTGGTGGGCCTCCCACTCCCCCGGGCGCCCCGCCTTGCTTCGGCCTCAGCCCAGCCCTGCCTCAGGACCCCTTCCCCAGCAGCAACGTCCCGCTCAGGAAAAAGCGTGTCCCGCAGCCTTCCCACCCGCTGAAATCCTTCAACTGGATCAAGCTGAACGAGGTGAGCAGCCAGGATGGGATAGCAGCACAGGGGTTGCCTGTGGTGCTGGTCCCTTCCTGTGCTGCCCTGGGTAGGGTGGTGAGGGCCACCATGGGGGACATTGGACATAGGGCTTGCTGGAGCCAGCCAGCTCCCTGCCTGCTGGAGGACATCCACACTGGAAAAGTCACCTGGCACGTGGTGGCAATGCTCCTACTGGTAGAGCTGCCTACAGGTGGCACTTGTGTGTCCTGGGGGCGCACAGAGTGGTGGATGTCGGAGCCTAGGTTAGGCTGTGGCCTACACAAGCCTGAGCTGGGACCCAGCGCTGCCGAGTAAAACAAGACAGGGCTGGGCTAGAGTTCCAAGGGGAGGCACGACTGGGAGACAAGGTAGACAATCGGGCAAACAGCTTGGGCTGGGCTGCACATCCTGGTGAAGAAGGGCACGTGTACCAGTGACTGAGCATTGGGCAAGATGCAGCCAGGAGGCGTCCTTGGGGACGGGGTGTGCATGTTGGCCACATCCTAGAGCACAAGGGTCCAATCTCTTGGCTTCTTGGGTGGCATGGAGCGAAGTGATTGTCTTGGGATGAATGTATAATGTAACATGGTTCATGTGTACAGTTAACAGTGCTATGCTCTTTTTTTTTTTTGGTACTGGGGATTGAACTCAGGTCCTTGTCAAAGCAGGCGGTGGAACCACTCAGCTAAATCTCCAGCCCTAACAGTGCTTTCTTAATTGATATTTTAACATCATTTTTTTAAACCAAATAACATAGCAGACCAAAGTTTAATAATTAAATAAGCAAACTTACCTATCCATCTGATAACAATAAGTGGCTGTCTTCATGGGTACTCACATCTGTAGGTCAGCTGAGACGCTGATGTCAGTAATCGCTGTGGTTTTTGGCCAAGTTGCACAAGTGCCTGTAAAATCTGGTATCCGTGGGTTCCAGTGCAACTGGCCAGGTGTTGGGCCCAGCCCTGCACACCTCCTTCCTCTCTTCCTTCGTTAACCTATATATTCTGTGCTTTGGCGCCACCAATCACATCCTGAAATATTGCACCAAAAATCACGTGGTTATTAGACATGTCCAGGCCACGCACAGCTCTAGCCCGACAGTGAGAGGCCTTCATGGGTGTTACCCAGGTAATCCCCAGACCCAGGCTCACGCATGGGAGCTGATGCCTGTCACGGACTCTAGTGAGCTTAGAGAAGCTGTGGGTGTTCATGGACCCCGACTGCTTGAACACCCTGGACAAGATCTTCCCTGGCTCTGTTCCTACACACGGGGCTGTGGGCTTTGTCCCTTCGGTGAACACAGGCGTTGCAGCGGGTTTCAGTTGGCCCGGCCCATACCTACACTCCAGACACAGCCACGCAGAGCTGGGGTTTTGTGGATACACTCAGACCCTGTTATATGGGCCCGGGGAATCACAGTTACCTTGCACGTGAGTTTCAGGGAGCTCAGGGAAGAAGAGGTGGTAGGTAGACTAGGGAATGCCTAAGTGGGTGGTCAGCTGTGTGCTAGATGCCGCCCCCTGGTGGTGGACCATGGCAGTTGGCGCATTAGGAGGTTGTAAGGAAACACCTAGAGATCCAGGGTAGGGGCTGAAGGGGAGGGCCTAACCTCGAACCAAACCTGTGGAAATAGTTCAGCTCCCTTCCTCGTGGAATGATCTCCAAGATTCCGTCCACCCCTGTCTGTGTGGTCTGGGTGGAAACATGGGAGGATGAAGAGAGCCCATTCGTAGTCTCTGGGGCCTCTGGAAACATCTCCATCTGAGCGATGGCAGCTTTGGAGCCGGGTGGTAGCAGGATTTCAAAGCAAGATTGGTCAAGCTTTGGGCAACTCACGCACAGCTGTGCCCTATGGGGGGTGCCGCTGCCTGGCCAGAAAGACCAACTGCGCATGTGCAGGCTCCCCTCTTCCAGAACCAGAAGCCAGCGGCTGCGCAGAAATGTTCGTGAACAAAGATGGTATCATTTTCGTGGTGTTCTTTTTTAAAGACATTTTTTGGCTTCTGTATTACAGGTTAAAAATGAGGCGAGAGATTATACTGTAACGTAGTATCTGCGGTGATTGAGGCGTATAGCAGGACAACTAATAATTCTGCGACCTTTTCATGGAGCTTTGTGCTTAGCCTGGGGTCCAGGAATAGTGACATCCGCCCGAATCCCCTGAGGACTCCGAGGTGGCCAGTGTCATTCCCCAACCGGGAAATGGAGTTTTGAAGGAGTAGATGCTGAGGAGCGTTTGTAGAAATAGGAGACTTCTGGGCAGGAAGGGTAGAGGGGCAGAAAGAGATGTTTGAGAACCGGCTACCGCATCTCACTGGGCGGGCAGCAATTCGGTTATTTTATAGTTTGGGCTTCTGACCTGTGAAATGGGGAAAATGATGGTAGGCATCTCAGGACTGTCAGACTTAATACAGGCGTTCCTCCTCTTTAGCAAGAGAAGTTATTTGAATGAGCAACCTGCCACTTGGACTTACAACTTGTCTTTATTTTTTTTAAATATATGTACTTCTGTCCATCTTGCTGATAGAGCCTGTGTCTTTTTCTTTTTCTTTTTCTTTTTCTTTTTTTTTTTTTTTTGTGTGTGTGTGTGTGCACCAGGCCTTTATATAGGACTGTGATTTTTTTGCTGATTGTACTGTATAGCACTATAGTTTTATGTTCTATTATCCATTGCGGTACTGCCTGTAAGACTCATGCAGATAAGAGAAGTCTCCAGGTTGGCGTTCCCGTAGACCGTTTCTTTGTTCTGAGTATTGCAATGTATCATGCTGTACACAAGTCCTCATTTAATGAGGAATTCATTTAATGGCCTAGCTCTAGGACCGGACCTCAGTCATTAAGTGAGGAAGGTCTGTACACGTGAAGTATTTGGAACAAGGACTAACACAGAAGGTCTCAGTCATTCTACCAGATTAGTTGCTGTGAGTGGCATTACCCTGCATGCTTTAGCCTTCCTGTCAGAACAGTGAGGGTAAGCGGCACCGAGACTCAGTTTCCCTTCACGTGACACAGGATAAGGGCAGCTCCCCTCCATTTGCCCAGCGCCCCACCTAATGGGAATGTCAGCCCGACATCCCTGCGCTGTGTAGGAAACAACGACGTTTGTCCCTGAGAAAGGCTTCCCTGGTAGGTTGAGGGTGTCTCCAGAGGACCAGTGTTCCCAGGACTCCGGACTGGGGATGGCAGGGTCTTAGGCAGAGCAGTGAAGAAACTAGAGAATTCTGGAACAGGGTGGGCGCCCAGAGTGGCAGGGCAGAAGTCGGGGCGTGGTGACCATGGCGGGAGGCCCATCTCTCTCTGGCTCCAGGCCTCAGCCGTACCTGCAGCTCCTCTGGGCAGGTGTTAGGGAAGATGTGAGAGGATGGAAAGCGTCTGTCTGTGGTCTTGGGGAAGTTCTTTCTGCCCCTTTCTTCCCCTGGCCCGCCAGGAAGGAGGAGGATGGAAAGCTTTGCCTTGGAGCCTGCCCCTCCCCCACCCTCCTGGACTTTCAGGGAGTTTCCCACTGCGTGGGCCGGGGACTCTGGGTCCCTCGGCACCTCCTGCTCACTCAAGCTCCCATCCCATCCCCTCTCTGCCTCTCACGTCCCCATTTCCTGGCACCCAGCACCTCTCCCCAGTCTCCTGTGCCCCGTGTATGCTCCTTTGCACATGCACGTGTACACACACACACACACACACACACACTCTCACACATGCTTGCTCACTCAGAAGGGTGTTTCTGCCACGAGAAGAATGTGTCTGTGTTGGGTTTGGCCTGTTGCCTGTATCCTTTGCTACCCTGAGCTTCCCAGCCCGGCATTCCATATGAGGGTCCCTGGCCTTCGGAAGGCCACAGGAATGTCCCCACCCCCTGACTCTAGCCTAGCCTCCCCTTTTCAGAGTTTAGGAAAATAAGAGTGAGTGAAAGGTATGCTTCTTTCTGCAGGCCTTCTGAGGGGGAGATGGCGGGAGGAGGTGGCGGGCATGGAGAAGGTTCCCTGGCCGCCCCCACAGTGGAAGGTGGGGAGTCCCTTTCTGGGGACAGAAAGCTCTGGAAGAGTGAGGATCCCAGGAGGAGCTGGAGGGTTCCACTGGGGGGCTGGTGCTCTGCGCCTGTCTTCTTATCCTCTAGGCCATCAGCAGGCCACTGTGAGAACTCTGGGGCATTTGGGGACTTGACCAACAAACAAACAAACCTGTCCAGATGCTGGTGCAGGGATCCTACTCAGAGATAGGGTGATGCCTCCATGGAATATCCTTGCATTGGGTCACCCTGTGCCCCTCCTGGTTGTGAAGGATGGGGATGATCTCCTGCATCTGACCCACCAGAAGTTGTGCCGAAATCTTGCTGGTCTGAGTAGAGTCACTCCAGGGGCCAGGCTGTCCTAACCTTTGGCATGGATCCACTTCCTGGGAATCTGGGAGCACAATGCTCTGAGAGAAAATGACTGCATCAGATACAGGACAGTCAGAGGCTTGGAGGGTCCCGGATGTGTGAGAGTCTGGCCAGTGATGGCCACGCAGCAGTACCCGAAGGACACTGTACAGATCTGGCCTTCCCGGCGGCCTACACAAAGTGCCAGAGAATTGCTTTGCTTTCACTTTTCTGGGAAGAACACAGTGCGCCCCTTCCCTACTTGCCCACCCATTGCTCTGCACCTCAGTGAATCTGGGACACGTTTCCATGTGGCCCCATATGAAAAGGAGGAGAAGGAAAGCATCTTGGGCTCTGTCCTGGAGCAGAGTATTGAAGAGGGGCAGAGGTTTGGAGTGGGGGAATTCAGCCCTTTCTGAAGGTCTGAAAACCCAGCCATTGTAGTATGTGCTGTTGGGGGACAGCTGAGGTTAGGGGAGCACTGGACATCTCCATAATGAAGGAACTGTGTCGACTGTGGATCTCCTCTCTACCCGAATCTTAGGAGCGGGTCCCTGGTACCGTATGGAATGAGATGGATGACATGCAGGTATTTCGGATTCTGGACCTAGAGGATTTTGAAAAAATGTTCTCAGCCTATCAGAGGCATCAGGTAAGACCTCGCCACTCTGGCTGCTTGGGTCTTGACTTCCACACACATCACACCCCTTGAACTTGAACCTTAGCCCTTTCCTCCCTCCCTCTCTCTCCCGCTCCCCTCCTCCCTGGCTGCTTCCTTCTCTCCCTGTCTCCTCCCCCTCCCTTCCTCCCTTCTTGCCTTCCTTGCACGTCTACTGAGCCATTTGAGTCTTTAGGTGGCACCATGCTCCCGTGGAGGAGGTCGCTCTGAACTGGAGGTGTGCGGCCATGGTGCGGTGCAGCTCTTATCTGCTCTGCCTGTGACGCAGTGGTATTTTGCCCACTTCTCTCTTGTGTCTCAGAGCATTGGAGGTGGCATCTCAAGGCCTGGCCACCATTGCTCCCTCCTGCCTTTGGCCTAGGACTTACAGATGACACCTAGAAATCGTAACTTTTCAGTCCGTTTGCCACCGTTTTCTCCTCTCCCAACACCTCACGAGCTCAGTGAGCAGAGCTGTTGATGCAGTGAGAAGGCCGAAGGCCACTGCTTCTCCTCACTTAGGGACTCCAAAGGCCCAGAGAGGCCTTGGCCTACCCTCCGGGCTCTGTGTACGCACGCCTGGCCCCTGAGTCTGGGCCTGCAGCCCCACAGAGGTTTGGGGCTTTGGCTGGTGGCTGAAAGCAGGGCATTCCTGAGGCATGCGTCTCAAGCTATGCCAAGGAAGGGGCTGTGCCGTGGGAATTGCCAAAAATGCTGATTCTTGAGGATCTCCTTCAAATACTGGATGATTCTAGAGAGGGTTTGGGCCCAGGAACCTGAGGGTAATGGCTTACCAGGGGTCCTATTCTCCAGGACCAGTCTGGGAATGACTGGCCTAAAGGCCCTAAGTCCCTTGCTTTCTGTGACCTACCTGCTCTGGGGCTGTTTCCCCTCGGCCCCCGGCTGTCATCTTCCTGGTTTCTCTACTCAGCCCAGGTTCATGCCCAGGACCCCAGTACCGATGGGGAGGCCTAGAAGGAATGCTATGCCCTGCTTGTCCTGAGTCCAGTCCCATGGACAGTCAGGGCCCAGGTCCTACGGGTCTACATCTCTGGCCCTGTCCTGGGATCCTAGAAAAAAAAAAAAAAAGATTTAAATGTGGTATCTGAGGCAACTGATTCTCAGTCCCAAATCCCAGGAAGCAATGTAGACCTTGCCCGTGATGGGGTAGGTGTGGCCCCTCGCCCTGCTGAGGCTCCGGAGCTGAGAGGATTCTGTAACCCTGTGCTGCTCAGAGTCAGAGCTCTGATGGGACAGAGGAGTGTGAGCCGGGTGGGTCCTGGATGCCATCCGCATGTCTCCCTCTTGCCTCAGTGTCCCTCCACGCTGTACTTCTGGCCTGGCCTGTCCAGCCCATAGGGCGCAGGGTGGGGTGGCAGTTGGGAAAGGGGAGGTACAAGGCCTAGGCCCAGCCAGGTTTAGGTCTGGGGTCTCTATCGGCTTGCTGAGTTGAGAAGAGCCCAGATTGGAGACCCTGCCAGTCCCCTCAGAGCCCAGTCTGCAGGTTGCCAGGCTGCCCTGTCTTGGTGACTGAAGCCACAGCTGCTGAGCAAGGGTGACCCCAGAGGTGGCATTCCCATCCTGGGGCCCTGGGAAAGAGGTCCTGGGAGCCCCAGCTGTCCCTCCATGCCTGAGGCAGGTTCTGAGCTGGTGGCATCACTGTTCTTGGAGTCAGTCGATGTCACAGGACAGGTGAGGGCGGGGAGCAGTCGGGGACGCCAACTTTCTCAGCCCCCTGAGCAGGTCTCTCCTGAGCTTCCCACTCTGATCCCTCCTGACTCTGCCTCATGGGAAAGGTGAACTCACTCACTCCTGGCAGATTCTAAGGAGAGGGGAGGAACAGCGGGCAGGCAGGGCGTGGGAAGGTCCAGCGTATGCAGGAGGTGCTGGCTGCCCTCCGCTTGTTTGGCTTCTCGGTGAGCATGGTACTGCTTTGGGGTTCCGGTCTCCGAGCATGAGGTCTCACGGGGTCAAGTATATAGAGTAGATGCTAGGACCCCCACATCCGTCCTGCTGTCCCCAGTCCCTGGACCTCTGACTAACGTTGTGCATGTTTGATTCTCTGTCGGCTGTGGCTGCTGCCTGCCTAGGAGCTGATAACTAATCCTTCTCAGCAGGTGAGTCACTCTGGGCTCTGAATCTTCCAACTCTCAGCCTCTGCCTGGGCTGTGGCCCTGACCCAGGGCCCAGCAGAGAAGGCCTGTCTGTGGCACCTCCTGCCTTCTGGCTCATCCATGTAGGGTGGCATGCAGGAAGGCCCCTGGACAGGAAGCTTCTAGATTTCTGATCTTATGCAAGGCCCAAGGCAAGCAAGGCATTCTGTAAGGCTGCTCGGGTTGGGCACTGCAGAATTTCACTTGTAGATGGTGGCTTGAGTGGTGACCCTGGAGTTGTACAGTGTGGGGCATGGTCTTGGAGGAAGTGTCTAGAGTAAGAATGGTGCACTGCCCAGCCACCTACCTCTACAGCCAGGGCTCTGAGAGGGAGAGGAGTGTGATCTTAGGTTTCTTGAGAATCTGCCAGCTATACTCCAGAGAAGGGAAATCCGGGTGGAATTCTGCCTTGGTCTCCACCCTGCTGACCTCACGGGCTGTACTGAAGTGCCAGGAGTCAGGGCCTGTAGCCCTTGGGGTCTGGACCAGCGTCTCATCCTGAGACCTGGAGGCCCGCTGGGTGGAGCATTGTGAGTTGGTCCTGTGGGGACCGCGGGGTGGGGGCAGGGTCAGCCTCATCGTCCAGCCCTCCAGCTGCTTCCCCAGGGGCCAGAGCCTGATCTCTAACACAGCGGTGTGCACACCCTGTCCGGCCCTTAATACGCTCCTCTGTTATCCTTTGTCCCTCTCAGTCTCTCAGGAGCATCCGGGGTTGGCAGGAGGGCGGCTCCTGGGGATGGGCAAGCAGAGGACTGGGGAAAATGCGCCCCTTCCTCGGTGCTTCCTCTCGGCTCCTGGTTTGCAGAAAGAGCTGGGCTCCACTGAGGACATCTACCTGGCGTCCCGCAAGGTCAAGGAGCTGTCGGTTATTGATGGCCGGAGGGCCCAGAACTGCATCATCCTGCTGTCCAAGTACGTGCTCTCCCTGGGACCCTGGCCGGGGTTGGGAGGAGACGAGGTCCAGCTGAGTGCCTGGGGTGAGAGCCTTGCAGTCTCTAACCCCACTCCGCCACCCCTGCTGGGCCCTGGGAGGAGCTGGTACAGATCCAGAGCCCTGTGCTGGGAACCCCTGTGGAGCCGCCGCCTGGGGCTCTGTTGGCCAGAAGCTGCCCCAGTCACGAGGTGGCCTGGTCCTGGTCCGTGTCCGAGTCTGGCGGCTGAGTTGCTCTGAGCTCAGGGAGGGCCCAGCTCGGCTTAGGCCATGGAGCACCATGATCTCAGCCCCTAAGCATTTCCTGCGGCTGCAGAACAAACAGGGCAGTATCTGCCCTAACAGCACAGCTTCTGTGAGGGCCTCCCTGGAGCCAGGGTCAGGGGCGCCACCTCCTGCCTATTCTGAGTGCTGCCCCCAGTGCCTCTGGAACATCTGCCCCCCTGGTACTTCCCCGAAGGCCTCAGCTTCTCCCCTTGGAGGTGGGGGCCTCTTTGAATCCCCAGAGCTCCCCACGGTGTGCACACCAGAGGGCACGCGGGAGGGGCTCGCTGTGGCGGTGCCTGCAGGGCTCACCACGGCCCCTCCCAGACAGCAGCACCAGCCAGCCACTGTGTGGGAGCCCAGCTGCTGTCAGGGACTGAGTGCCATTCTGTGGCCTGAGAAGGAGGGGCAGGAAATGGTCCCCTCAGGGGCCTGCTGAAGCCCCATCCTCCTGCACAGAAGCTGTAGATGTTTTAGGTACAAGGAGAAAGAGGATCCCTGATTGAGCTTTTGCCCCTTGCCCTGTGCCTTCAGTTCTCGCCAAAGGTGTCCCTTTTCCCTCATCTCTGATGAAGCCTCAGACAACACACCAGGGGCTCCAGCCTGGCTTTAGACACTCAGATGTTCGTCCCTGAGTATGCAGTGAGTCTGGCTAGGTCAGCCTGAGAAGGCTTTGCCGAGGAGGTGCCCGAGGTGCCCCCAAGTCCACGTTCAGGAGAGAGCAGAGGATGAGGCTGTATGTCCTGGAGAGGAAGGGCTGGAGGCTGCCCTGGGCCTGGGAGCCAGGCTGCTCAGGGGTGGACTTTGCCTCAGGTTGAAGCTTTCTAACGAGGAGATCCGGCAGGCCATCTTGAAGATGGATGAGCAGGAGGACCTCGCTAAGGACATGCTGGAGCAGGTGAAGACTGGGCGGGTGGGAAGGAAGCTGAACCTGGGGGCCCCCAGAGACTCTGAAACTCTTGGGTCCAGGAGAGACCTAGCTGGGGGAGTTGGAGAGCTGGTTTCTAGAAACTTCCTTGGTTGAGCCTTTCTGAAGAAAGGCTGGCAAAAGCTGCCAGGGGTCTCTGAAGAGGCTGGAAGGAGATCTGAGGTAAAGTTTTTCATAGCTCACCAGCCAAAGTCAGGGCAACAGTCATCATTTCTTCTCCAAATCATGTCTACCTCAATTTGCTGTGTCCTTTAAGAGAAACCCCGAAAACACCAAGCAAAAGTAGCATCAATTAAAAAGAACTACTGTCTATTAAAAGACAGGACAATATTACTAGAGTGAGGAGACAAGCCAAAGCTTAGTAGCTGCCACACATAACCACACGCACATTAATAAATATTTCATCTTCACAATAAAGAACTCTACAAATGAATGAGAAAATGGCAAAGCACATTAAAAATGAGCAAAAGGCTTGAACAGGCACTTCATGAAAGAGGGATCTAAATGGCAGGTGAGCATTTGTAAAGAGCTCAATCCTCTTAGCCATCAAAGAAATACAGTAAGCCACAGCGAGAAAGCTACCCATGCAGCAGAATATTAAAATTTTAAAAACTGACAGTGCTATTTGCTGGCAAGGATGTGAAGTGAGGGATTCTCATTGGTACAACCACTGTGGAAAACTATTTGGCATCATTCATTAAGGCTGAACTTACACCTTCCCCATTGCCTGTTAACCTCACACTTAGATATATACTCAAGAGAAACCAGTGTAAACAGTGGCAAAAAGAATATTTATAGCAACTTTATTTATAAAACCCTCAGAGTTTGAGCAGGTCAACTGTCCATCAACAAGAAAGTGATAAAATAGACTGGTATATTCATGCAGTAGGATACTACACAGCAACAAACAGAACAACCATGGATGACTCTTGGGCATTAGACTGTGTGAAAGCAGCCAGACACTGCTACAGCAAAATACATGAGATTGGTTAATTTAGGCAGGTAAGTCCAAGAAGTCCCCTCCAGCATCGGGCAAGGGCTATGTGCCGTGTGTCATATGGAAACTTGGAGCAAACATCCTAGCTTGGGTCTCTTATAAAACCACTAATTCCATTATGGGGACCCTGTCCTCATGACATCAGTTTAGTCCTAGTTATCTCTCAAAGGCTCCACCTCCAATTGTCATTACCAGATGAAAGGGGGTGCGGGACACAGTCACACCTTAGCGTACAGCATGAGTTCATGTATATGAAGTTCAAGAGCAGGCAAATCAGCTGAGGGGTTGGGGGGGCTTTCTGAAGTAGAGCCAGAGAACTTTGTAAGAGGAGGGGAATATTTTGTGCCTTAATCTTGTGTTTCAGTGGGTAGAGGGTTTTAACAAGACTCAATGAGCCACCCATTTAAAATGTGTACATTTTATTATATGTGGATTATATCTCCGTGAAGTTCACTTAAAAAGAAAAATCACTGAACTGTGTGCTTCAGAATGGTGTGCTTTATGTGTAAGTTATAGCGCATTTTAGAAAGTGAAGGACAGAAGGGTTAGGTGCCTTGCCACCCCCTTCCTAGCAGATCTGTACACATGAGGGTCCTTCTGTCCATCTTGAACAGGGCCAGTGCTGCTCACCCCACACCCCTGGACCTGCTGTTCCCCAGTTTCTTGTCTCACACGGGCCTTCTCTTTGCAGCTCCTCAAGTTCATCCCTGAGAAGAGTGACATCGACCTCCTGGAGGAGCACAAGCATGAGATTGAGCGGATGGCCCGCGCTGACCGCTTCCTCTATGAAATGAGCAGGTTGGGCCCTGGGAGAGGCGAGAGGGGATGGGCTTGGGCAGGTGGCCTCTGGTGGTCAGACAGGGCGGGAGGTGAGCAGCATCAAGAGGAGCCCGGAGCTGGCTTCTTGCCCTGTGGCGGCTGCCTGGTGACGTAGCTCACCCTGCCTGCAGGATCGACCACTACCAGCAGCGACTGCAGGCCCTGTTCTTCAAGAAGAAGTTCCAGGAGCGGCTGGCAGAGGCCAAGCCCAAAGTGGAAGGTAGGGCTGATGGTGGGAGGAGGCCTGGGCTGGGGAGGCATCTGGGTACCCATGTGCAGGGGCAGAGGGAAACGCCTTCCTTATTCTCAACCCAAAAGGAAAACCAGTGTCAAGGGCAGAATGTAAAACTGACGGGAAAATGCCCTGGTTTCCATTGGTGTGTGCATCATCCGCGAGACACGCTCATTCTGTGCCTCAGCTCTTGGACCCAGCAGGTAGGGGCGTCCAATGGCGTCTGTCCCAGCATGGGGCGGCGGTGATCAGAGCTATGCCTGTCATGCACGGTGCATCACTCTGTATCTAGCTGAGGTCCTCAGTGCATCAGAGAGATACATCCAGGGATATCCTTTTAAGTGTGAGCCACCGGAAACAGAAATTGTGTGCAGTGATCGGTGGAGGTGCCTGACTTTCTCAAACAGGGAAACCCTTCTAACACAGGCTGTTTCCAGATGAGAAATGTGTGATTTCTGAGGCCCTTGGATCAAGCGCTGTGTGCGACACCATATGTGAATGGTCTCTTTGGGTGCTATCATCATGCCCATGGGCCTCTTTTCTGTCTCTAAGGTGGGCTACGGTGGTCACCATGCTACGGATGGGCGATGGAGCCAGGATAGGAATCCAGGTGTTGCTCAGCGGGCATCTCCCTGGGATTGCCTACGGGTGGCAGGGGAGGCTGGGGCAGGAGGCTGTGGGAAAAGACAGGAAGGCATGATGGTGGGCAGAGGGGATGAGGCTGGCAGGCTCATTTGAGGTGAGAATAGGATCACAGAGCTGAGTAAGCAGGGTCCAGATTCTGGGGTGTGTCGGGGGAGTAGCACGTGCCGCCCCCTGTTGGACACCAGTGGCAGTCAGCACTCCGTGAGATGCCAGTCCAGGGAGAGGTAGGCCGTAGCTGGGCTTCAGTGGGCTGCTTTGGAAAGGATGGAGCATGCAGAGATGGAGGCAAATGTTTTTAGTAATCTGCACCGCATTCCTGTCCCCCACACACACACGAGCATGCACCCTCACACAGCCAAGGACTTGCAGGCTGTGATCATAGCTAATCAGTCTGAGGGAGAAGGGAAAAAATAATGTCAGGAGTTTCTGTCCATCTCTAAGGCCCGGCTGTTTCTCTTTGTCTGGTGATGGGCAGATCCTTATCTTCGTCTCCCCTTTCTTTCTGCTGTAGACTGGCCCTGGGGCATAAAGCACAGATAAAGGGTTTAGCTTAAAGTGGATTTGCTCAACCGTCTGCGTGTCTTGGGTTGGTTGCGTAAATGTGCACAGTTGCCATTTGGGGCTAAGGAAGCAGAGTTCCTTGGCCATAAGGAGGCCTAAGCCCAGCAGCCTTCTCCTAATCCTCCTAATGCCAAGAGCAGTGAACGCCATCGAAAGTCTCCTTTTAATATCAAGCCACACCGAACAAGAGGTGCTGATGAGAACAAAATTGCTGGGGGAAGTTGCTCTTGTATAGCTGTCCTCTGGGAGATTTATTCGCCTGGAGCAATGGCCACTGTCCCCGAATGGCCCGAGTCTGAGGTAGGGAAGAGACGCCTGAAGTTGTTCGAGGTGTGATTGAAATATATTGTGAATATGTACATTTTAAAAAGGTATTGGCATGAATCCCCCTCCAGAAATCCCTCTTGCTTCAAAGGCTCTCATGCCATCGTTCCTGCCACGTTCTGAAGCAGTTCTGAGCTCCTCTTTCCGCTATGTCCAGAATGGATTCGAAACATTTGCCTCTCATGGTCATTTTGGCTTAGGGAAGAGCCAGAAGTTGCACGGTGCCAGATCTGGAGAATATGGTGGAGGAAGACACAGCCTCATATAGTTACAAGCCTGCTTTTCCGCGGGGTGGCACTTGGCAGCAGCATTCACTGTATTTTTGATCACAGCTTGTGAAAACACTGACGAAAGAGGGCTTCTAGACCTGCTTCAGAAAGAGGCAAGAAAAATGGGATAAGTGGTCCAAGTGAGGGGCAAGATTTGGCGGGAAGTTTATGACGTCACGTCATTTGTGGTAATGAATTGCTTTAAGCAATTTAAACGTTCACTATATATTTTGATCACACCTGGTGTAGAATTGGATCAGTGCGGTCATCTGAATCGAAGAGCAGAGGACTTTGGGGGAGGTGGGATTCCTATTTCTCCTCTTCCTCCTCCTCCTCCTCGTGGAAGATACTCCTGAAGAAGCTAAGTTTAGCCTGCCCCTGCAGGGTCCTGAGCCCTTGACACCCACTCCTAGCAGGGGTGGGGCTCTGGGTCAGTTTGCCAAAAGCTAAGTCTCCGCAGCTGACAAGTTTACCAATTTTTCTGTAAATATGTTCACGATTATATTCTCGAATATATTCTTCTTAGGCATATGTTCATTGCCTCCTAGGCCAAATTTACCGATTTGTATTGTGTGTTCACTGAGCAGCGCCAAGATGAGTATGCTTGCAAAAGTAATATTCTCATGGATATATTATTCTTGTGAATGTATCTAAAATGTCCTGGTTGCAGATGGGAGTTTTCTCATTTACACCGATTTCCTTTGAATTCTTGTCATTCTCTGTTTTGCCAACAGTTTAGCATTTTTTTTTTTTTTTAGGAAGCTTCCTTTGCAAATTTTTCAAGCAGCAAATCAGCCTTAGCAAAGCCATCCCAAGAAATATGAATTGCTAGAAACGTTTACAAGTAATTTATTCCAAATAAACTTTTTATTCAAGTATGATGTGCACATATACAAGTACAGAGATCCTAAGATTGGATGCATTATTATGAAGTGAAACCCCACATGGGACTGACATTCAGGTCAAGAATGGAATGTTCTCGACCCCAGAACCCTCTTCCTATCCTTCTCCCAAACACATCCCTGTCCCTGCCTCTGAGGAGAGGAGCTATCTTGACTTCTAGATCACTTCTGTTTTGAACTTTATATACATGCAATAATATGGTATGACTAATTCTGTGTTGACTTCTTTTGTTTAATATTATGGTTGTGAGTTAATTCCCAGTGGGGAATTCATTTTCAGTGCTGCCTTTTACTTTACTCTATAATATACATAATTTGCCCTTTCCATTTGTATATTTTTTTAAATCCTGCAAACAGTTAAAATGTCCACTAAGAGTGATGTTGCTTTTAGATCACAGAGTATGCAAATGTTCAACTTAGGTGCAAAAGACAGAGCTCATTTACAGCTTATTTTTGTAGTTTCTTATTTTTTTTACTGTTTTTGATGTTTTCTTCAGACTTTAGTTGAGTGGGTTTCCTTTTATCTTCTGTATGGGTCAGCTTTCTGTTGCTGTGACTCAGATGCCTACGAAAAACAACTTAGAGGAACAGATATTCATTTGGCTTAGGGTTTCGGCGTTCAGTCCATGGTCGGCGAACTCCAAGGCAGAAACATCATGGGGGAAGGGCACAGTTGAGAAAAGCTGCCTACCACATGGTAGCCAGGAAGTAGCGAGCAAAAGAAGAGCCAGGGGGAAGGAGTTGGGGCCCGTATATAATCTTCAAAGATCCAGTAACCTACTGTCTTCAACTGGGGCCCATCTCTTAATAGCCCATTCAGCCATGAGCTCGCCAGTGGATTAATCCATTGCTGCCTTGAGGATCAGTCCTCAATAAATGAGTCTTTGGGGGCATTTCGTAAGTAAACTATGACATCATCATAAGTAGCGTTGGGCATATTCTGTTAGCTAAAATCTTATCATTAATTTTAATATTCGGAAAACATTCTATAGCTAGAAGCCAAAATCTCAGTGTAGGGATTTGAATCCACTAAGGATTCAAACTAAGGAAGGGCCAGAGCATGCACATCAGAATGGACTGCTGGTTTGCATTTCTGGCAAATTATCATTTAAGCTTTGGGGGAAGTGGCTAAAATGCCTAACATCTGGGAAAAAAAATTTAAATAGAATTCTATTTTTATATTATAGTTTTTGTCAAAAAATTAAAATTTTTAATTACATTTCAATGTCAAATAAGTTATATCATCAAATTTAAGACATTGTCCACTAAATTACTGAGCAAAGAAAATCTAGGAATATTGTCAATGATTACATAATTTTATTGATGGAGCTGTCCTTCCCCAAAATAATAAAATATAGAATTTCAAAATAGGCAGAAAGCAAGTCTATAAGATGCAAAAAATAAAAGTTGGACATGCTAGGTTTAACATAAAAGCATCGCATTCAAGGGTGTACTGACGACAAGACTGTAATCGTCTTTGTATGCAAGATGAGACATTTTCAGGTACATTCTCAGGAAGTCGATACACTCTGAGGAGGGGCTGTTAGCGACATTATCTGCTTCCCTGGAGGTAGGAACAGGGGAAGGGCTCCCTGAAAGGTTGTAAGGTCTGTGCCTGCCCCCCAAGACTCAGACACACTTGCCTAGTGGCTTTCTGACGTCGGAATGCCCTGGCCCAGTCTGTGCGGGGCTCTGACCCGTCTCCCTCTCCCCAGCCATCCTGCTGGCCTCTCAGGAAGTGACACGCAGCAAGCGTCTAAAGCAGATGCTGGAGGTTGTCCTGGCCGTCGGCAACTTCATGAACAAGGGGCAGCGCGGGGGTGCCTATGGGTTCCGGGTGGCCAGCCTCAACAAGATCGCTGACACCAAGTCCAGCATCGACAGGTGGGGGACCCCCCCTGCTTCCTCCGCACCTTCGCCCACCTGACCCCTTCCCTCCCCAGCACTCCTTGCTTGTTTCCCTTTCACCTGCCTTAGCTTCCTCCTGACACCCTATGCCCAGACTCCCTGGTCTCTCACCTCACCTCTTGCCTGACTCATCCCCAGAAACATCTCTCTGCTCCATTACCTGATCATGATCCTGGAGCAACATTTCCCTGACATCCTGAACCTGCCTTCGGAGCTACAGCATCTCCCAGGAGCCGCCAAAGTCAAGTGAGAGCCCCTCTTCCATGGCTTCCTTCCTTCTCCCTGTGATCAGGAGCATTCTGGTTTTCCTCCCTCCTGGGTCCTACTAGGGATGGGCAGTGCTTTGGGGTCTCCTTTGGGAGAACCACACAAAGACAATCTGCTCTTCAAACCTTGTTTCAAAGAGGATTCTAGAAAGCCCTAGTTGAGGAGGGTGGAAATTGAACTGGGTATGGAAAGGCGGTTAGTAATGGAAGTGATACTAAGCCCAATGATACTGTGGGCGTCACCCCACTAGGGGACTCTGGGAAACAGTGTAGAAAACTCAACCCTGGTCATGCAACCCAAGGGGTGAGGACACCCAGAAGTCCTCCAGGCTCCTGGAGGATTTGTGCCGTAACTTTCCAGCCATGCCATGGGTACAGGCAGAGGGCAGTGACCCGGACAAAATACTCACCCATCTGGAAGAGTCAGGACCATGCCCTTTACTGGTTTTGTCTGTTTGTTTGTTTGTTTGTTTATTTATTTATTTCGGTACTGGGGATTGAACTTGGGTCCTTGTGCTTGCTAGGCAGGCAATGAAACCACTGAGCTAAATCCCCAGCCCCACTTTACTGGTCTTGATGCCAGCAGCTACTGTAGAAATCAGGCCTGAATGTATGGGTGAGTAGAAGCCATGTCTAGTAGCACTGGAAGTGTGTTGATGGCTAACAGGTATCGAATGCTTACCGCATGTAAGATACCCCGTTTGTCTGTTCGCTGTTGCTATCATGGAATCACTGAGACTAATACATAAAACCTAGGAGTCAAAATTGGGCATGGTGGTGCTCCCAGACCTCTGGGAGGCTCAAGCAGGAAGATTATAAATTCCAGCCCAGCCTGGACAATTTAGTGACTCAGTGAGGCCTTGTTGCAGAGTAAAATTTAAAAAGGTCTGGGGATGTAGTTCAGTGCAAAGGCCTTGGGAGTTCAATCTCCATTACAAAACAAAACTAAGCATCTGGCTCATGATTCTGGAGGCTGAGGAGTGTAAGTGTGTGATACCTGGTCTGCCTACCTGGAACATAACCACAGGGCTGAATGTTTCCCTCGGCAAGACAGAGCAAGCGGGATCTCTCTTCCTCCCAAGGCTCCAGTGCCATCTTGGGACAGCACTCTCATGATCTCCTCTACCCCTAATCCCATAACAAAACTAAGCATCTGGCTCATGATTCTGGAGGCTGAGGAGTGTAAGTGTGTGATACCTGGTCTGCCTACCTGGAACATAACCACAGGGCTGAATGTTTCCCTCGGCAAGACAGAGCAAGCGGGATCTCTCTTCCTCCCAAGGCTCCAGTGCCATCTTGGGACAGCACTCTCATGATCTCCTCTACCCCTAATCCCATGGGCTCCACCATTTTGTTTGTTTATTTATTTATTTCAGTACTGGGGATTGAACTTGGGTCCTTGTGCTTGCTAGGCAGGCAATGAAACCACTGAGCTAAATCCCCAGCCCCACTTTACTGGTTTTGATGCCAGCAGCTACTGTAGAAATCAGGCCTGAATGTATGGGTGAGTAGAAGCCATGTCTAGTAGCACTGGAAGTGTGTTGATGGCTAACAGGTATCGATTGCTTACTGCATATAAGATACCCCCTGTTTGTCTGTTCGCTGTTGCTATCATGGAATCACTGAGACTAATACATAAAACCTAGGAGTCAAAATTGGGCATGGTGGTGCTCCCAGACCTCTGGGAGGCTCAAGCAGGAAGATTATAAATTCCAGCCCAGCCTGGACAATTTAGTGACTCAGTGAGGCCTTGTTGCAGAGTAAAATTTAAAAAGGTCTGGGGATGTAGTTCAGTGCAAAGGCCTTGGGAGTTCAATCTCCATTACAAAACAAAACTAAGCATCTGGCTCATGATTCTGGAGGCTGAGGAGTGTAAGTGTGTGATACCTGGTCTGCCTACCTGGAACATAACCACAGGGCTGAATGTTTCCCTCGGCAAGACAGAGCAAGCGGGATCTCTCTTCCTCCCAAGGCTCCAGTGCCATCTTGGGACAGCACTCTCATGATCTCCTCTACCCCTAATCCCATGGGCTCCACCTCCAAAGACCATTACATGAATTTGGGGACTTAAGTCTGCAACATGAACCCTTAGGGGTGCATCCAAACCATAGCCCCACTGCTGAGGGCTGATGGCTTTACCTGGAGGAAACACCGGTGTATCTCAGCCAGAGCCCAGGTGTTAGAAACCTTGTGATGTGCAGCAGGCCATGTCTGATCTGGAAGGATCTGTGGGGCAGAACTTTCGACCCATTATTTTATAAGAGTGCCGACACTGGGCATGGTGGTGCTCCCGGACCTCTGGGAGGCTCAAGCAGGAAGATTATAAGTTCCAGCCCAGCCTGGACAATTTAGTGACTCAGTGAGGCCTTGTTGCAGAGTAAAATTTAAAAAGGTCTGGGGATGTATGTAGTTCAGTGCAAAGGCCTTGGGAGTTCAATCTCCATTACAAAACAAAACTAAGCATCTGGCTCATGCTTCTGGAGGCTGAGGAGTGTAAGTGTGTGATGCCTGGTCTGCCCACCTGGAACATAACCACAGGGCTGAATGTTTCCCTCGGCAAGACAGAGCAAGCGGATGTCCCAAGGCTCCAGTGCCATCTTGGGACAGCACTCTCATGATCTCCTCTACCCCTAATCCCATGGGCTCCAGCTCCAAAGACCATTACATGATTTTGGGGACTTAGGTCTGCAACACGAACCCTTAGGGGTGCATCCAAACCATAGCCCCACTGCTGAGGGCTGATGGCTTTACCTGGAGGAAACACCGTTGTATCTCAGCCAGAGCCAGCCCCTCTTCCTGAACCAATGTTGGCTCCACACACCGCAGTTGATTTTCTTCTGTCTTTCCCATCTCCTCTCTCCCGACAGCCTGGCAGAGCTGGAGAAGGAGGTGAACAACCTCAAGAAGGGCCTGAGAGCTGTCGAGGTGGTGAGTATGTAATGTTACCCCTGCCTGGGGTCGAGAGGATGCTGTCGGTGGAGAGGTTGCTCCTGCTGCCCACCACTGGATCCATTAACCCCTCTTCCTGGACCAATGTTGGCTCCACACACCGCAGTTGATTTTCTTCCGTCTTTCCCATCTCCTCTCTCCCGACAGCCTGGCAGAGCTGGAGAAGGAGGTGAGCAACCTCAAGAAGGGCCTGAGAGCCGTCGAGGTGGTGAGTATGTAATGTTACCCGCCTGGGGTCGAGAGGATGCTGTCGGTGGAGAGGTTGCTCCTGCTGCCCACCACTGGATCCATTGGTGGCCCCTGAGACATTTCTATGATCCAGAGGTCCTGGCTGAGCTACTAGAACAATTAGCACAGTGGTATAGCCCTCGGGAAAGGTGGATTGGGTGTCTAAGTTTAAACCCCTGAAGACCCAAAGAGGAGATATCCATTTGACATTGTTTCCATATCACCGAGCAAGATGGTGCCCCCATGGCAATAAGGTGGCATGAACCTGAGTCTGCCCCATGCTTAAGTTTGACTCTAGTAGATGGGGAAACTGAGGGCTGGCTGGAGACATTGAAGGCCACTGTTCCTAGAAGGCCCTGTGTCTCTTCACCTTGTCCTTGGGCTAGGGAAGACCCAGTGCTGACTTTTGATGGAGACTCAGGTGTCTTAGTCCCTTCAAGCTCCTGTAACAAAATGTCATGAACTGAACAGCTTAGAATCAAGAAAAAAAATTTATTTCTGACAATGCTGGAAGCCCAGGATCCAGGTGCCAGAAGGTTCAGTGTCTGGGGAGAGGCTATTCCTCAAAGGTGGAGCCTTTGCACTGGCCGCATATGGTACAGAGGGCAAAGTTCCTGGGTCTTTTCTGTAAGGGTGATAGTCCCATTCGAGAAGGCTCTGCCCTGGTGACCTAGTCACTTCTAGACACCTTCGCCGTAAGGGTTATGATTTTAAATAGGAACTTTGGTGGGGAAAGAAACAATTCAGACTTAGCACCGTGTCTCTGGTCCCCACCCTTCCTGCTCAGATGACTTCTCAGTTAATACTATCGGTGGCCCCCAGACATTGTCACCCTTGTATCTCTCAAATCTAGGAACTAGAGATGATCCCCATCTTCAAGGCAGGAGGGAGGGGAAGTGGAGCTCAAGCCGAAGCTTAAGTATAAAGAAATACATCCTTTTGCCACCATGGAGGATGGGGGGTAGTGATTTCTAAATATCCAACTCCATAGTCCTTTGAAACACTACCCAAAGTGTGGCCCATGATGGAGTGGCATTTGAACCAGCTGGATCTTTAGAAAGATAGCACTAATTCCTATGCTAGTCAGCTGTGGGGCTTGTTCTGCTCCACTGGCCTGGGGGTGTGGCGCTGAGAGCTTGCATTTCTTGAGATTATGGGGTGATGTTCCTGGCCTCAGTCCACACTCAGGGTGACAAGGCACTAAAGAATGAAAGATGGTAGTCCTGGTGGCCAGCGGACAGAGAGAGGCAGGGAGATGGGCTGATGACTCTCGTGGTTCTTGTCACCCTTAGAACTATGAACACGGGGTTTCCCTCTCCCAATGGCAGGCTTGATGTCCTCTGAGTGACATAGGGGAGATGCAGTGACCATGATCCCCATCTTCAAGGCAGGAGGGAGGGGAAGTGGAGCTCAAGCCCAAGCTTAAGTATAAAGAAATACATCCTTTTGCCACCATGGAGGATGGGGGGTAGTGATTTCTAAATATCCAACTCCATAGTCCTTTGAAACACTACCCAAAGTGTGGCCCATGATGGAGTGGCATTTGAACCAGCTGGATCTTTAGAAAGATAGCACTAATTCCTATGCTAGTCAGCTGTGGGGCTTGTTCTGCTCCACTGGCCTGGGGGTGTGGCGCTGAGAGCTTGCATTTCTTGAGATTATGGGGTGATGTTCCTGGCCTCAGTCCACACTCAGGGTGACAAGGCACTAAAGAATGAAAGATGGTAGTCCTGGTGGCCAGCGGACAGAGAGAGGCAGGGAGATGGGCTGATGACTCTCGTGGTTCTTGTCACCCTTAGAACTATGAACACGGGGTTTCCCTCTCCCAATGGCAGGCTTGATGTCCTCTGAGTGACATAGGGGAGATGCAGTGACCCCCAAGTTCCTAACTCTCACCCCACGTCCATCTGAACAACACTTAACTCTCCCTCCCCAGGAGCTGGAATATCAGAGACGCCAGGCGCGGGAGCCCAGTGACAAGTTTGTCCCCGTCATGAGTGACTTCATCACGGTGTCCAGCTTCAGCTTCTCAGAGCTGGAGGACCAGCTCAATGAAGCCAGGGCGAAGGTAAAGGTGCCCCGAGCCTTTCCTGGAGCCCTCACCTCAGGCTCATCTAGCGGTAGCTCCTTCACCCTGGCTCCCAGATGGCCTAGCAGGGACAGCCACCGGGACTTGAAAACCCTGCTCCAAGACCAGCAGGGCCAGCACAATAGAGTCTGGATGACTGTCTTCCCCCACTTACCTTGTGGGTCTGCTGTGAGATTCAAGTCCCATTCAATAGATGGGCACATGCAGGATCAGAGAGGCTAAGTGAGTTGCTCAGGATTCAGTGACAGAACTGTTCAGAAGCCTGACCTGCAGCTCAGCTGCGCATTTGCCTCGAGCCGAGCCGCTGCTCCTACAAACCTGGGCATAGACCCACTGAGGGACTTTCGAAAATGTGGCTGCTTATTCAGGAGACTTTGGGGTGGAGGGGAAGAGGGTTAAGACTGAGCGTTTCTAACAGGATCCCAAGTGCTGAGCCCAGGCCTTCGAGCCTCTCCTCAGCACCCTCTGTCCCCACCCCGAGCATGCCAGGCGTTCACAGCCTCCGGCTGGGCTCTGTTCTGACGACATCGCCAGCCTGTGCTTCCCTTCCGCAGTTCACCAAGGCGCTGACGCACTTCGGGGAGCAGGAGAGCAAGATGCAGCCGGATGAATTCTTCGGCATCTTCGACACCTTCCTGCAGGCCTTCTCGGAGGCCCGGCAGGACCTGGAGGCCATGCGGAAGAGGAAGGAGGAGGAGGAGCGGCGGGCGCGCATGGAAGCCATGGTGAGAGGCCGGGCTAGGGC